TTCTATTTTCAATAAGATTGAATTGGCAGTTGCAGCGGTACCACGATAAGGGGTTTCTAATCCACAAAAAGTGGGCGAGGTCTGAGCTTAACCCCAGCAGGGTGCAGAGCCTAATCTGAAGGGATCCGATTTTGCATGTCGCGCAAGCATAGCGGCTCCACTGATCTCTACGCTTCTTTTAAGAGACGCTATTTACAGGAAACGGGTTGTTTTGGTGATCGTGTGCATTTGGATTTTCTCTTCATTGATGACATTTGCCAATATGGTAGCTGGTATTCAGAATCGTAGTCTATGGATCGACGATGAATGCACTCAAGACGGTAAGGTTACTGACATCACGTCCATCTCCTTGTTCTAATTGTAGGCCATCTCGAGCTTTTCCCTATTTGCACTAGAGTAGGCGGATATTCTTCCCACACAGTTCGGGCTCATGAGAAATACATCCTACACTGTCTAGATCTACTGGCACATTTTTTCCATGGAAAGATGCTTGTAGCTACAGGCTGTATGTAATCCTCTTGAGTGAACAAGGAGTCTGAGCGAGAAACGGAACCTCAAGAACGCTGTTCTGACTTTGTATAGACAAAGTAGTAAAGGGTAAAGCCTTTGGCGTCGGCCAATCCCTTCCGTGGTGCGCCATGTATCCTATTTCCACCCAGTGTCGCAGTTTTCACCCAGTATCCTATTTCCACCCATTTTGAGTGGGATCTACTTTTCAGCTGAAGCTGATTAGCTGATATGCAAGTCTATGTATTTATTCTCCCGGACAAAACTGAACCTACTAGCCAACCCGAGCAGGATGGATCGCGTCGCTGTCGTACGCTAGTCGCTGTTTTACTATTGCTGATACTTGGTCTAAAATCCTTTGATCCACCCGCTCAAAAGATGATGAAGGAGGGATGGGGTTAGCAGGGATGGTTTTTTGGATTTATGTAATGTGCCCTAAGGGTCGCTAAACACGTTCTGTTACGCTTATTTTGATCTTAAGCTCAACATTCGATTACCTTTGTAATGCCAGAAAAAGTCGTTTAGGGCAGAGCACGGCTAGATGAGAAGTCGTTGCGGGGTTTTATGTCAATTTTGAACTATACTATTGAAAGAATCGGAAATTCTGGAAAAGAATGGGCATATTAGCGATTCTGGTGCAGCTTCTCTCTTTGTTAAAAAACCGTGGGAAATCTGAGGTAGGTAAGGGGCAAAAATGTGGATGATTTTGGGAAACTGGGCTTTCATTTCGAAGGGGATCGCTTTGGAGGCAACTTAGGAAGGTGCAGTGCACAACGACCGATTTCCCTCGTTGACCTGCCTTGTTGCAGAGACTGCCTCTTGGGCAGGAATATTCCGTTCAGAGTCTAAAAGACCCGGATGTGTGACTTATGGCGCCCCTGCCGTTGCGCCAAACTCACCTTTAAGTTCAACTGAAAAAACTCCCGCTTGTAAGTTCAACTGAAAATTATTAACTTTCTTCCAGCGAACTCAACCGCGTCATGCATACACCGTCTACAATCGTCAGGCTCAGCTCATTTTGTCTATCACTTGGGTTTGGTCGTTTTCTGTGTACTTTGCCTTGCAGTTACTGCTGGTCTCTAGCATATTCTTCTCCAGGTGGCGAGCTTTTTGCCACCCTTTTCGAGCGAATTCATGTGAATTTCGTAGAGTGCGTGCGGCAGTGCCAGCTTTCGAGTTGTCTCTATGGCGTCGCCCTTGAAGCTGAAATGAAGACAGGACAGGGCTGAACTGGGAAACTCTTCAAGGAACGAAGTCGATGACGCGGGTAGCTTACTTGCAAATAATAGAAATGGTGTTAACTGAACTGCTCTAGCTGATTCCACCCCGCTGCTAGCGTGTTGATGAGAGTCCGTAGAGAAGGTATAAGCTTATCGATCACCCAGGTGGCGTGCCTTATGGGAGCCAATGTGGCGAGGACGAAGGATGACGAGCTGTGATGTTATAATAGTTCGCTAGAGTTAATGGAACAAAATAAGTAAGAAATGTAGCGAAGCGTTTCAAGTTTGAATTTCAGCTGTTGCTTTCCATTGTAGGTTTTCCTTTTGATGTGAGAAAGAGAGTTACGGTATTCCCATGTAGGGTGGGGGATGTGGGACTAAGGAAAACGGTAGGCAGGTACGCAGTCACGTAGTATTGCCCGGATGGGACTGATGTGAAAAATCAAACCCCTGACGTTGCTCACATAGGCTCACTACTGGCTTATCTCGATTGTTTCATGCACTTCATAACCATGGTCACCTCTACAGGAGGTTGGGTGAAGGCAGCTGTACTCTTACCCGGAGTCCTAGCCTTGCCGAGGAAGAAGAGTGGTTCTATAGCTGCAGTACCGTGCCACTTTCTCCGCTTAAAAGTGCACGCAAATGGGGTCAGTAGGGTGGGTAGTGGTTGCCGGGTGCCATCTTCGTACTCCGCCCACGCTATCCGCAAATTGCAGCACTTGCATCGACACCAAGGTACCGCAGCGAAAGGTTTACTCAGCGGTAGAGAACAACCAAAAGTGAGAGAGCGCAGACAATTTGCGCGTTTTCCATGGTTAGACAAGCGGCTGGCCGTGCGGCAGTGCGAGTTGGGGGCGGCACCCAAGAACCGCTACACTTCATCCACAGTCCCGCGCTTTTCTGACCGGAGAAAGTGGCAGGCTAATGTAGCTGCAAACCCACTTTCCCTACCCACAACAAGGACTAGGATTCAATTCGAGTGCACTGTTTGTCTTCGGAGGTTCAATAGATGAAGAGCCCATAGAAGAAGCCCAAAATAGCTGAACGTGAAGACCCAATAATATAAAGAGTAGTTAGCGATGTGATGATCTCTATGATTCAACGTTCAGGTGAACGACGTCTAGATGACAAGCACGTCTTGAGGCGGCACAAATACGTCGTCGTCATTGGCACTGTAATCGGTGTCTATTCGGCTTATCTCACCGCCTATGCCACCATACAAGTGCTACAGCTTGTCAATATCAGCGAGTGAGTTTTACTATTTTCCCTTTGCGATAACAGCCACTGGGAACTGAACAGACACTGAGAGCTGCAGCTCTTTCTTCACAAAATGCTCTTTCAATAAAAGTTCGGACTCATCCACGATGCACGACTCGAGCG